TTTTTTTCTTTCAACAATTCAAAATGTAAGAACAAAGCTAGAGACATGGGTCAACAGGTGAAAGCATTTTCTGTGCAAACCTGACAACCTGAGTTAATTCCCCAGGCCCGTGTACAATGTTGGATGTGCTGTGACCTCAGGGAGGCAGAGACAGGGGAGTGAGCTGGAAGTTCTCAAGCCAGCTAGCCTGCAGCATTCAGCAACTATAGTAATAGAAACAGTGGCAGAGAGCCTGCCTCAAATCGGGTGGGGGGAGAGAACAAACTCCCTAAAAATTGACCTCTGAGCTCTGCATGCACACTGTGGCACATGTGTGTCTACTCTCTCCTCCTCTTCCTCTCTCTCTCTTTTTCTTCCCCCTGTATACACAATAAATAAATCAATGACAAAATTTCAAATTTTTAAAAGTCAAGCCATTTTGAGTTTCTGTCCCAAATAGAGGGGTCAGATTAAGCCCGAGGACAATTGCTTGGTGATCCTGCTCCAGATCACTCGTTTCTTCTTACTAGTCTTCTACCATATAGTCATTCATTTGGAAATATTTATGAATTGCCTACCAGATTCTGTTGCAGATTAGGCACTGATTAAAAGCATTCTTTTAAGAAACTTACTGTATATGCAGGAAAAATAAATCATGCTACCCAACGAGACGAGACAAAAAGTATTAAAGCCCTTAGAGAAGATCTCTGGCAGGCAGCGAGAGCTAATGGGAGATGGAAAATCATCTCCAGTTCCAACAGTAGTTGAGAAAGGGTGCTCTGAACAGGACGGCTTAGGTTCCTTTGTGTGGCCACCACTTACCAGCGCTACACTGGTATGGGCAGACCCTGAGGCAACCCACTTATTTTGTGCCTTGGTTTTCTTCTCTTTTCTTTTCCTTTCCTTTCCTTTCCTTTCCTTTCCTTTCCTTTCCTTTCTTTTCTTCTTTCTTTTCTTTTTTGTTTTTTCGAGACAGGGTTTCTCTGTGTAGCCCTGGCTGTCCTGGAACTCACTCTGTAGACCAGGCTGGCCTTGAACTCAGAAATCCGCCTGCCTCTGCCTCCCAAGTGCTGGGATTAAAGGCGTGCGCCACCACTGCCCGGCATGTCTCGGTTTTCTTACCTACAAAATATGAATCGTTACACTACTTACTGCACAGATCTGCTGTGAGAGGTCAGTGTCCCATGAATGAGTTAAGACAGTGAAACACCTAATGAGTGTCTGGCTTCTAGTAAACAATGGAGAATGCTTTGACATTCAACATCATGGAAAACTGCATGAAGGCAGTACTGAGTCAGGTGGGGACTTTGGCACATGGTGACTGAGAGAAACATGTTTTAAGATGGAAAGCTTATGGGGAAGCCTGGTGTACACAGAGGACAAATTAGAAACAAGTCTATCGAAGAAGAAGAAAGAAGTATAGTGGGGAATAAATTTAGAAAGGAAGGCTGTGGTTATACCCCGGAGAGCCTTGAATGCTAGGCTGAGAAGTTTGGATTGTGGCCCATTGCTAATGAGTGAGGTCTTATTAAGTTTTATGAACCAGGAGACATGCTGCCAGGGTCTGGCTGCTGTGGGCGGCGAGCAGGACAGGACACAACCTGGATTCAGGTTACAGCCCCTATAGCTACTTTATTGGATCTGGATAAGGAAAGGAAGTCATTTCAAAACCACCACTATGGTTTGCAACTTAAATAACTCCTAAAAGTTAATGTACTGAAGTCTTGGTCCTCAGTGCAGCAATGTTCGGAGGTGGGACATTGTGGGAGGTGATTGGATCATGAAGGATCTAACCTCATGAATGGATAAATCAGCGGACAGATTCATAACTTAATAGGTCTGGGGAATAGGCTTTTGCTATAAAAATGAGCTCTCTTATTGCATCCTTACCGCACACATAAAAGCGAATGAGTAGGGACTAGGAAGATGGCCCAGTGGGTAAAGTGCTGGCTGCGAAATCATGAAGCACCCACACAAAACCTTGGCACAGTTGCTGGCATACATCTCTAATCCCAACACAGGGCTGGGAGAGTGAGGACAGGCAGATCCCTGGGCATCACAGACTAGCCAGCCGAGCTAATGAGTGAGGTCTTAGGCTCAATGAATATGATGGAAAGCAATAGGAAAAGACATTGGATGTCAACCTCTGGCCTCTACAGGTATTCACAGGCACATACACATACATATGAACACATACACATGAATGCATACACAGTTAGCTAGGTGAAGGAACAATGCATGGAAACCTCTGAAATGCTAAGGCCAAACATTCCTTTGATTTCTCTCAGGCACTCTGTCACAGTGGCAGAAAGGAGGCTAATACAACTACCATAGTTTTACCCCAGATGGCTGTCAGTCTGGCAGTACCTGAAGTGCTGAACTAAGACAGAGAAGGTTCAGGGAAGTTGCTGCTTTACTCCTTACACTGTGAAGCTGATGGGCTCTGTACAGAACTGTATAGTGGAATCGCAGCTGAAGAAGAGAAAGTCTGAGCAGAGGGCTGGTGATAGAAGCCAGAGGCTCTGAGGTAAGCCTTGTAACAACTGGAGCCAGGTATGTCTGACACTCCCTAAGGGGCTCTCTACTCTTTGTCTTATTGCTTTGTTTTTGAACCAGGATCTCACTATGTAGCCCAGGCTGGATTTGAGCTGGTGACTTTCTGTCTCAAGCTCTCAAGGGTTGGGAGTGCCTCTACATTTGAAAGTGAAGGAAACAGAAGGCAGAGAGAGTGCCCTCATAGTTTATAACCAACCACTGTGCTCCATGGCTACCATGGCTAGCCTTTTCAGCCCCTCAGACTTTTGATCACAGGCTACTCAATGGGTAAACTTGGATTACTTACTGTCCTGTGAGGAAACATGCACCATGGTCAAAGTAACTTGAGGAGAAAAGGCTTTATTTTGCTTACACTTCCAGGCAACAGCCTGTTACTGAGGGGAGTCAGGGCAGGAACTCAAGCAAAGAAGGAACCAGGAGACAGGAGTGGATGCAGAGAAACCATAGAGGGATGCTGCTTACTGGCTTAACATTTCTAGTTTTTCCTGGAGAGCTGTGGGCACAAGGATCTTCACACTGGGCTTCCAACAAAGCATTAATAAAAAAAAAGGCACCTCAGTTCACTGACCCCCCTGAAAAGATCTTAGGGGCACCCTGAGTCTTGAGGTGCACATTACCATGGACTCAAAAAAAAAAAAAAACAGCTTGAAGCTCTAATCTAGATGTGCAAGGAACGCCTATGCTTTAGCTTCCTTTCCCCCTCTAACAGCTACACCACCATATTCCCAGAGCCTCTTGGACTCCGGATAGCCTTCCCTTATCCTAAGACGCCTTTCCTCGTAGCTTTCTTTAGGAGCCAGATGGAGTGAGCTGCTTTCCTGGGACCCTCCTGTTCTGGTTTGAGTTCCATAGCTGTGATAAAGACCACTACCAAAAGCAACATGGGAGAGGAAACAGTTTATTTGGCTTACACTTCCACAACATTGTTCATCTCTGAGGGAGGTCAGAGCAGCAACGTGGAAACAGGAACTGAAGCAGAGGCTATGGGAGAATATTGCTTTCCTGGCATGCTCTTCGTGGCCTTCGTGCTGTCTTTAGACCACATCTAGGACCACCTGCCCCGGGGTAGCACCTCCTACATCAATCTTTAATCAAGAAAATGCAGAGACAGACTTTGCCTACAGGCCAATCTGATGGAGACAATTCCGCAACAGAGATTCGGACTTCCGAGATCAGTGCAGATTTGTTTCAAGTTGATAAAAATCAATCAGCTCTTCCCCCAACACCTGCCCCTCAGGCACGAGCACAGCCTTTGAAATTGTGTGACCTTGGAGAAGTAACTCTACCTCCTAGGACTTTAGTTTCCTCGGGCTAAAACAAGACATTCACGAAACCCAATTGTGTGGGGGGTGGGAAAGCATCACTGGAAGAACCCCGGGTCATCGTACCTAGCCCGCTAAGGTTCAAAGCCCACTCCGGGGCAAAATAGAAGGCCTGCTTTCCTTAGTGCTGTCGCGCCCTTTTGGGGAGCACTCATTTTCTACGCATAGTATTTCTCTTGCCTGCGCACTGGAAAAAGAGAAAAGGTGCGAAGGAACTCTTTTAAGGTCACTCCACAGTCGGCCAACAGCCGGGTGGGGGCTGAGGGCCGACGGGATTCGAACCTGGGACCTCAGAGGACGTTATTCACTTGTCTGGGAGACGCGAGCAATACAGTGGGTCCGGGCTCTTTTTAGGGCTGGCGGTCGCGAGGCCGCAGGAAGGCGCGAGCCGGGGTCGCCCCTTCCCGCCACCCGGCGCGCGCAAGAGCCCAACGGCCGCGGCGCGCGCCACCTCGCGGCAGGAGTCTGTGGCGGGCGGGGCTGGGCAGCTCTCGCCCCCGCCCCCCGCCCCCCGGCCGCCGGCGTCTCGGTGGAGCCCCCCGTCGCCCGCCGCCGCCTTAGCCGAGCCGCTCTCCTGAGCCGCCGCCCGCCCCTGCCGGCGTCCTCGCTCGCTCCTTGCGCAGCGGAAACATGGCGGCTGGAAGGGAGTGAGCGAGCCGCCCGCGCCCCGCGCCCCGCGCCCCGCGCCCCGCGCCGCTGTCGCCCTCAGGTAAGCGCCTCGCTGCCGCCGCCAGCCGAGGCCGTGCCCTGAGGGGCCCGCCATACGGCCACGGGCCGGAGAGAGTCCCCGCCCGGTGACCCCGGTGTCCGTGTCTGCGGCCCTCGGGCGGTCGTGTCAACCCGGCCCGAACCCCGGCGGCCTGCGCCGCATCCGCTCGGGCCCAGTGTCCGGCGGCGGCCTGACGCGCGGGGTTCGGCCGGGGGCGCGGCGCGCGAGTCCCCGCACAGGGCCCCTTCCGAGTGGGCAGCAGGGCTTGGGGCGGAACCGGGAAGCCTGGCTCGGGCCCAGTGCCGAGGCTCTTTCGGGCTGGTGGGACGCGTCGCCAGAGAGATTTGTCTGGGTCCCAGCAGCGGAGGACCGGGAGTCGTGGGCTCCGTGGGCTTGGAGCTGTCTGCCAGCGTCCCGGGGCGGGGGGAACTCACCTGCCTGGAGCCCGGCCAGCACCCGGCGGCTACGGCAGGTTTCGAACCTCAGACGGGGAACCGCGGACAACCTTGGAGCACAGCAGGGGAAGGGGTTCCCAGGTAGACAGGTGAACCCCAAAACATCCTCCAAAGCGAAGAGAACTGAGAGTCATCAGGTTTCCCCCTACTCTTACCTATTCGGAATGGAAGTATCTTTTAAAATCCCAAATAATACCCTAATAATTTGGCGAACGGTTTAGGACGGCTCTCCGTCCTAAGACTGTTCCAAAGTAACCCAGTCTGGTCCTGGATGGATTTGGTTATAGGTCTCCGGTCTTTCTACTTATTTTCCCTCGTGGGCAGCTGTTTAGAGTGAAGATAGTAATCATGTCCCCTGAGTCTTATTTTGGGTAACTCCCAATTCCTTTAGTCTTTCTTTTTACTCTGGTCTTTGATCCGCTCCTTTGATGAGCGCTAGTTTACCCATATTGCCCCCACAGAAGAGCTTATTGTGTGTGTGTGGAGAGAGAGAGAGAGGCGCCAAGCTCAATCATTTCTGAGGGAAGAGCTTTGACCCTAAAGGACTGACCTTAAAATAAAAAGTACCCTCCCTTCCTCATTTTCGTACTATGTTGAACTTAGGGAGTGGGGGTGGGGAGCAGTGAGGGAAAGCTGTCTAGTAGCATGTGTGTTCACCCAAGCTAAAAGAGATCATCCTGTTTTGTGGTTTCTCTTCCTTCGAAAAATTGAACACTTCATCAAGTGAGCTAATGTATATCAAAAGATTGTGCAGTGTAATATATCATGCAAATAAAAGAGCTTATTATTTTTGCTCTAAAAAGGACTGAGACCTAGATTGGTGCCAAACTGCAGTTTACAATTTGCTTGGAGAGAGAACTCCCTTATTACAATGAACTTTGCTTTTTCCCTCTGCCAACAGAAGGCCTCAACTTGCTGTGAAAAACAACACATTTTGTTGCTCATTAAAAAGCATTCCTTTTTTTTTTTTTAGTTTAATTATTTTAAAGTCACTTAGCCTTGGTGGTATATAGGGTTAAAGTATTTTAAAAGGATCTTTTACCAGTTTCTTAGACCCTTGCCTAGGCATCCCTGCAAACAAGTAATTTTTTAAGCCCATTAGAGAAGTGATGGCCTTGTAGATAAAATGCTAAGCTCTGTATCTGGGACCTTGTTCAAGATCTGCTCGACTACTAAGGCAAGGGCATACTAGCAGTCAGAACTGTGTTTATCTTTGTTCTTATGTCTTTGTTTCTTAAATTGGTTAGTGGTGTTAAGGTTTGTAGCACATATGTCAATTTTTTAAAAGTATTTTAATATTTTGTGTGTGTGCGCGGGCGCGAACACATTGGCCTGCACTTGAGTGTAGTTTCCCATGGAGGCCAGAGGAATACTCCCTACAGCTGGAGTTACAGGCAGTAGTAAGATAACTGTTGGGTGCGAAGAGCCAAGCTTGGTTCCTCTTGAAGAAAGAGACGTGATCTTTAACATTGAGCTATCTCTTCAGCCCCACGCATGTCAGATTTTAAATCCTGTTATGTTGTACAGATGCTGTTTCACTTTTGTGTAACTTGTTAAAAATTTATGTGACACTGTTCTGTACAGAACTGTATAGGTACAGAATTCTCTAAACCCTCCAGTATAAGGATTCAAAACTGGGAAAACACTGGTATGAACATTACAATGAAATTTAAACTTGCTGTATTGTAACCTTTATACTTACAGACTACCATGTGTCAGGCATTGTGTTATTGTGTGGTGCTAAGCTGGACATACAGAAAAATGAGACATTTCTAATCACTGTGGAGCTGGATCAATGTGGTGCTTACACAGGCTATCTCAATAAAAGCTAAGCACTGCACATAGAGTGAGGGCATTTGAATTCACCAGGCTTTGAGGGAAGGCTTTGGGGAGGGATGAGCCCAGGCTCCAGTGATAAGGGGGCCAAGAGGAGTAGAATATACCTTAGAGAAAATAGAACAAATAAAGGAAAAGTGTGAGAGAAGGAGTGACCCTCATAAAACCCACAGCATTTTGTGACTGCCAGTAATGTAACAGGAGAGATAAAATGTAGTAAATTAAGACACTCCAATCAGGTAGAGGCTGTGTCATGGTGGACCTTGTATGTATAAACATTGTGAAATTAATTCAGTAGGGGATGTTCTTTAATCACTGAAAGGCTTACTAAAAAACTAGACACGATTGAAGGTTGGAGTAACATTAAAAATGGGCATTTATACTTGAAGATAAGTTTATTTTATTTCTTACTTTTAGATTTTGTAATTTTTTTAGTTAGACCAGGGGACAAATATAATGGAAGTAATGTGGAAGAAAATAGATTGTGGTAAGAACATAAAATATTGATTTATTATTATAAATAATAAAGTTGTCTAATGTGAAACTGCTCTAGGTGACAACTAGTTATGTATGTATATGTGTGTGTGGGGTGTGGCTAACTGAAATACAACAGAAGCGGGGGTGGTTGAAGTGGAGTATGGCGGAGCAGTGCGGACAGCAGAGTGATTTAGGATGATGGGATGAGGAAGAGAGGAAGATTGTGACCCAGGTGCAATAAAGATAAAGAATTAATTGAGGTAGGAGATGAACCAGGAGGCAGTCGGGCAGAACGTGGTACTGCCAGATGGCACAAACCTCAGAGGAGGCCTTGTAAATGCAGGAGTGGATAAGTCAGGGTTTTTACCTTTTCCTTCTTACAGGCAGGGTTCTGATCTCTTCATTTTTATTCAGGACTCACATCAATTATTGTTTGCACCAAAGAGTCCGTTTTGAGGCTTGAAAATAAGGGCAAATACCACATATTGAATATTTTTTGCCTATATATAATGGCAAAGGATTTTTCTCTGATGCTTGTAGGTGGGTAGGAAACTGATAAAGCAGTGAGATTAAACCGTGATTATGGGACAGTCCAGTGGAAAGAGCCTACGCTGTGGATTTAGAAACACCGGGATTCACATCTAACCTTATGACTGTAAATTCCCTGATACATATAAATAATGAATAAATAAATAAATAAAAATTCTTATTTCATAAAGTTTACATAAAAACATGAGACACTAGAAAAGCAATTGGCCTTTATATAAGTAAAATAATGTTAATTTTCTTATTTCTGCTTTTAACGAGCTTATGCTCTGCTTGCAGAAACGAAGCTCCCTCCCCCCACTTCCCAAATTACTGAGCATATACAGTAAGTGTTCTCTTACCTAAGGAAGGTAAAGGCACAGTAGGAAAGAGCAGTCATTTCAACATTGGGAGTAAACTTAGTCTTCACATTTAAGATAAATTTTCTTTGGACCCTGGAGATATTTCAGTTGATTAAATGATAATTATATCTAGCTACCAAGTATGCTCTATCAAGTATAGTGTATTTTTGTTTCAAATTATTAGCTTTGACACAAATTTGGGTATTGTATTCATTTAAGTCAATAGTGGGATATGTGGCTAGAGAAATGGACTTGAGCTGTTCTGTGAAAGCCTTGACACTATCAAATTTGGAATTGGTTCCAAATATATTAGTGAGCAGTATGTTGTACTTCCATCCTCTCTGCCTGTCTCAGTTTACTATGTGTTCATTTAGACACATTAATTCAGAAGTTCAGATTTTTGTTTGAAGTAAATTCCTCTTTGAAAAATAACTTCCCACTGGGTAGTGGTGGTACATGCCTTTAATCCCAGCACTTTGGAGGCAGAGGCAGGTGGATTTCTGAGTTCGAGGCCAGCCTGGTCTACAGAGTGAGTTCCAGGACAGCCAGGGCTATACAGAGAAACCCTGTCTCAACAAAACAAAACAAAACGAAACAAAGAAAAGAAAATAAGTTCCCTGTAGGCCAATTTTGGATTAACAAAGTGACAGTTATGGTTTGTTTTGATGCTGTAGTTTAATCCTTGCAAAGACCTTATTTGGTAGATAGGCTCAGTCAAACTCTGGATCCTATTGGTAAAAGATTCTCTTTCCCACCATACTGACTTAGAGTTAAAACAAAGCCCAGATCTCTTATTGTTGCTAAATATTAACTGCATAGAGGCAGATCACTTTGATTCTCAGATACTCAGCTTCTTTATAAAATGAGGGAAGGTATAGCTATAAGGTTGAAGAGAGTGAGTAAATTCTTGATGGTTATTGGTCACATCAGACACTGAAATATTGGATCCCTCTTTCCTTATCTGAAATTGATACCTTGGCCAAAGCTTTAATACTAACTCTAGCTATCAAGGACCTTCTAAAGCCAATTGTTTTGATAACTGTTTGACTGGATAGACCCAGAAACTCTTGGTCTCCCAGCCTCTTTAGTCATTTGTCATCCTTGGTATTATTATCCTTGTCTGGTTTGATTTCCTCTTCCTCTCTCTCCGAAGCCTTATTCTCTTCTTCTGAAGCATTTTTAACATGTTCTTCCAAACTCCTGTTTTTCTGTATTGTTGACCATTTCACTGGTGGTGGTGTGTGTGCCCATTGAGTCCTGTTGAGGGTACTGATTGTTCTGTAACCCTTTAAAATATAGCTCATTTACATTCATCTCAATGGGAGAGTTGAGAATTACTAATTTTTCTGTCACCACTATTTCCAGACCATGTCTTTTCCTTCTTGTTAAAATCCTATGGTTTTCTGGAATAAGTGTTACATTGCCCTTGTTAGATTGCCTTGTTACATTGCCCTTCTTTTCCATTTAGGATATGGCACACAATGACTCCTTTACTCCCTTCATTCTGAGTGACTTGAATGTTCACATGGATTATTTTTTCCTCCAGAGTACTGGTTTCTTCTACTCAAGAGATCATATACCGAGTCCACTTCCCTGTGTTCCCTTTTATCACCTAGAGCTGGCCCACCTCTGAAATGATAAATGAAAGAGACCAGCTTTGTTTAGAATTTCTCCTTTGCCTGGCCTTTGATTATCCTCATTAGGTCATTCATTGACCTTATCACTCCTTCCCCTTCCAGGTCAATTTTTAGCATATTTTTAAAATTCACTCTCTCACCATTACCCTCTAGTACCTTGCTCCATTTTTCTGTCCCTGAAGTCATAAACCTTGCTGACTCAAACGGACCTCCTTCCTTGTCTGCATCACTGTTACTCAGTCTGAGACAAACTACCTGGATTTTCTGCCACTGGGCCTTTACTACATACTCATTTCATTTTCTGTCATGAATTGTGTAAAAAAAATACTCTTTTTCAGACTTCTGACCTTCTTTATTTTTTTTAAAGATTAATTTATTTATTTTATGTATATGAGCATGCTGTCCTTGACACACCAGAAGAGGGCATCAGATCCCATTACAGATGGTTGTGAGCCACCATGTGGTTGCTGGGAATTGAACTCATGACCTTTGGAAGGTCAGCCACTGCTCTTAACCACTGAGCCACCTCTTCAGTCTGACTTCTGACCTTTTTAATTCATCTTCTCAGTCTCAACATATGGCCAACTGCTTAAAAATATAGATAACATGAAAAGGATATTTGTCTCATTTTCCTTCTCACAAAGTTGCTTTAAATTACATATCTATGTTTTCCTA